GGGGCAGGGGGAATAACTCATGGGTACTAAATACTCAAATGACTGAATTTGGACTGAGTTGACATTTCAAATGTGAGTTTATTGACCGATGAGACAGCAGCCTGGCCACAACTACAGTCCAAAGTTGGCCCAAGTATGGAAGGTCCAAAGGGAGGATGCGATCAATTTTCTTTAAAATGAAATCCTGACATTTATCATTTCGAAGATTCTTTGCTTTCCTAAATGACTTTACTGGTTCAGTTTTATTATTTCTATCTATCTAAAGACTATTTATCTGGCACACTGTAGGCCCAAAATCTAAGAATAAAAAAAGAAATAGTTCTCACACTGTTAAAAGTCATGCCAATGAAGAAATATCTGCTCCATAATTTGTTCTAGTTAAAGTGGACCTATCATGCTATATTTAAATGATATATTGTAGGGCCATACCTATATAAGGTATATTTATACGTTTCTGTTTTCAAAATACCAAACAGATCATGCATTTTAGCCATGCCTCATTTCGCTCTATGTGCTGTTTGCTGTCTACTGGGCTGATTCTGTGAGCTGCAGCTGACCACGCCCCCCTGCAGGAGAGGGTAGCCGTGCTCTGATCAAGTCAAGAGGGGGAGGAAAAAAAGATCTCCGTCCTCCGTGTTTTATTATATTGTTATAGGCCTATAGAGTCGTTATTCATTTGTTTTAAAGCTCAATAAATAACAAAGAAGACCTTTGACCGGCACTTTTCTAATTTTGTCCGGAAGATTTAAACTTTAACGGACATCTTGACCGGCAAAAGAAACTGAAACTCTGCCGCACGGTCCCCTCGTTCCTTGGAAGAGGCGGAGAGGTGAGTGTTTGTCATCTGCTGGTAGACTAACCGGAGAGAATTACAGTGCTTGCCTCGACGGGGAGGGATTGCATTGAATTAAAGCAGCGGGAGCAAACGCTTGCCTCGGGGAGGGAGAAAAAGAGCCACAGCGGAGAATAAACAGAAGGGTAACCATGGTAACTCCGGGCGGGAAGTCTTCTTTGCTGCTTTTGTGGCAGACTACAGCGCCACTTACAGGCCTGGCATATGTACTACAGCGTCTCCAGCGCTTTCGAGCGGCAATGGCCGGCAGTGGCCCAACCCCACATTCCCCTGATAGGTGGAGAGTTGGCCCAATAGCCGTAGCGCCACTTTACTGACGTCAGTAAAGTGTTCAAATCTGGATCAGTTTTTATCAGATCCGTTGCAGCCCCTTTTTTAGAGATTTGGGTATGGAGGAAAATAGAGAGGGTTGTGTTTTCTGACACTTGGTGAGTTCCCTGGAACACCGGGGACACATATTCATGATAGGTCCCCTTTAAGATAAGTGTTATTGTACTGTAAAACAAAGACTACAATATTATACATGACTAGCTTTTCATAATGAAATGTATACCCCGGGATAAGATCCTTTTTATAGGAGTGAGAGTAGGGTTACATAGATACAAAAATGTACTATGATCAACGGATTTAGCACAATATCATACATGAGAGAACATAAATAATTTGATTCTGCTTTATTTGAGCCCTCATACAGTATAACATACTTTCAATCCAAGCAGTGCTAATCTCATTCAGTGAGTGTCTATAAACTATCTTTTGTCCTCATTCATTTAAAATCAAAGGCAGCACAGACTCACAGAAATATTCACTATCTATAATGCCCCATCCCCACATCATTAACAAATATTTGAACGTAATAAAAAGACACGCATAGAATAATCTTGTCAAAGAGAGAATTATTGCTCCTTGGTCCTCAAACTCAGAGCTGATGTGTCAGCATGAGAACACGGAGAAGAGTTAAGAAGAGGTTTTTGTTTTTTTAAAGCCTGGCCCTGGGCCTATTTTTCATATCTTAAGAATTCACACAAAGATTGATGAAAAATGGATGCAAATGATCCTGAGAGAGGTGGGGGGATTACAGAACAAGCCCACATCAAGCTTTTTAGAACTCACACATCTGAAGGCCCTGAGCTGCAGAAAGGCTCGGCTCCTCTGGCTGCCAACCCCCCGAACACGCTGAATCAACCACTGGCTCCATTCACTCGGTCACCGTTTCAAGGTGACTTTGACATCTTTGAAAAGGTTTATGAAGGAAAAAGGTGCCAACAAATAGTGAAAATACCCATCTGTTTGTTTTGAGCACATCCTCATACGGAAATAAAAAAGTATTTATCCAATGGCCAATTGATTTACAAGTAAAATACCCTATTATGTTTCAAGGACATTTTTCAGCTGAAATGCTCCAAACTAATAATGTAATACTGTACCTATTCCTCCATTATACCAAATGATTCATCCATTTAAACTATTTAGTTAGCGGACACAAATGCTCCTTATGCCTAGAACCTCCTGACAAACACCAACCAAAATGGCAGCAAGGGTAAACGGCTGCAGTACGTGTCCTAAAATGCAGACACATTTCACTCAGGCAACTCCAGGTACCAGTTGGATAGCAGGTCTCTATCTAAACAGCATTCTCTACAGAGTGAGCTGAATGTTTTATGAGGCAAAGTTGAAGAGAAACACATACAAACTAAACAAGAAAAAAGGCTCTCCTTGATAAAGATGCAGAAGTGAAAGTGGAGCAGAAGAGGCAGCATCTTCGCCTCGATAGCCAGTATCAGTAAGCTTCTGTCAACCTAATAAGAACATCATGGTCGGACTGTGATGGCTGATAGCGCTGCTGCTTGATTAAAAGCAGCCTGTGTTTCACACTAGGATCAGGGCTAGCCTCTGAGTTTCATTTCCTTCCAGAGGGGGTAGCAGAAAATCTTGACACGAACGACACGACCAAACAAGCGGTGGTGAGAGGCAGAGAAGACAAATGAACCGGCTGTGACATTGCAGCGCCCCTTTGGGCTTTTACAAATGACTCTTCATATGCCTCCCAGTCGCGGCACATGTCTGCTCCGTATCTAATGAGTGCTTCGGATATGAGGAGAGTTCAATAAGTAATGAAAGAAGAACCTTGTTCTCTTATTATAGCCCCCTTGCCTGACACTAAACATTGTATAATGTATTAGAAATTGCTGCACCACGACACGCGCTTATTAAAAGCGAGCTTGAAAAGAGGCATTTGATACACTCAACAGTGGCTGTTCCTCTTTAATGTGCGCTGGGATCATATTCTGGGTACAGAGGCAAGAGAAGAGACGCTTAATTAACAGGGCCTACAACAACACCAATCAATATGTTTGGTGTACACTAAGCACCAGCAGAGCCTGCAGACTTAAGGCCTTTCAAGTTTTCCCTCACACTTTTCTAATTAGCTGAAAATATGAGCTTTGCCAAAGACTGCCAACACTGAAACATCAAACCATTACTCATAATGCATTAAAATTCAACACCTGTCTGGCCCAATGTGTAACAGGTAAAATCAAGAGCATTTGAGGAAACTTACATTCACCATTAATAACCCATTCTACGCCTTAGGAATATCAGATTAACAGCGAATCTGACTGCATGGCCATTTTGGTGAGCGATGTAATCTGTCATTTTTAGATCATGTCTCGCTTTTGACCTTGAACACATCACGCTTTATCAGATAGTCTGAGTGAATACAAAGAGTGGTATGTCATCTCCTATTTGGCCTCATTTATCAATCTCTTCATATGTTGCTAATACATTTTTATTATAAATTGTGAAGCCCCTAAATATTAGGGCTCATTCATCAGCCTTGTTTTCAAAGGTAAACATATCTGATGCAGCAACGGTGGCTTTTTAAGTCTCTTTCATGAGTTTAGTATCATATGTAACATTTAAATGCAGCTTTTAATCCCCACAGTATAATGTGGAGTTGAAATTGCTGTAATCAGTGGGCAGTTTCCTGGCTTTTATATTCTGGACCCCACTAAAAGGCTCTGAAAAAAACTGAATGTCGGATTTAATTGCAATAAAATTAGAGTAGCATCAAGTCAAATACAAAAGGAAAGAAGTCCCGCCGTGCTGGTGTAATGAAGGTGTACAGTGACTAACACAAAATAAACAGCAGGTACGTTAGAACTGCTACTGTGAAGCAGGAAGAAATTAGAATGTGATTTTTTTTTACATAGCACAACTTTCTGTATTACAAAAGAGCTTATGTAATAAGAAACTTCTATAAAAGACTTCATGATGAGTTGTTATTGCTCAACTTAAATTGCGGTTTGCAATACTAATGCCATAAATACACTTCATGCAAGTTTAAACCATATGCTTTGATTCAAATCACCAAACCTATCCATGCACAACATGTTTTGATGCAGATACCTAATACTAAAACTAACAGTTGGTGTTGATTATACATCTTAATGTGAAGTATTACATGCATAAATGTCTTATTACATTTTGACCAACATATCTCATATAAGTTTATTTTAAAGTTCAACCTTTTAAAGGTCCCCTATTATACTGTTTTTCTTCAATATATTATAGGTCTCAGATATATACAAACATGTCTCTGAAGTGTTTGGCTGAAATACCAAACAGATCATGCATTGCAGCATCCCATAAACCCCTCTGTTTCAGCCCTGTTTCAAAAGTGCTGATTCTGTGTCTGTTACTTTAGGAGGAGGAAGGAGCCACTCCCCACTCCCCACGCCCCTCTGCGTTTAAAAGAACAAAATGGTGCTCTAGGTGGAGATTCAGGTGATAAGGTGGGGGGGTGTTACCTTGGTTGGTTATTGGCTAATGGTTACACAAGCCAAAAAATCGTTATGACATCATAAAGTGGCCAAAATCTGACAGGTTTTTATATAAATGGATCAGGACAAAAAGTGAGCGAATATTTTTTCCTGAAACGTTCAGAATCTCTTTACACAGAGGGGACACATGTTTATGTAGAAGAGACATGAAAAAGTGGATTTTGCATAATAGGTGACCTTTAAGGACTGAACCATCTCGTGCATGCAAACCAAAGCCATACATACTGTACGGTACACTGCAGGGATGCATTTAAACAAACCTAAAGATGACGTCACAGTAAACTGTTGAATCAGACGGTGGGTACCTTGAGTAGTTGAAGAGGCGGCTGTCCCACAGCTTGTGCTCCCCCCTGGGTGGAGAGTGGAAGAAACACGAGTCGGAGCCGTCAAAGCGGTTCAGGCCGTCCTCCGTGTTCTGTGAGGCGTGGCTGTGAACGACATCCAGCAGCACCACGATGCCCATCGAGTGGGCCACATCTATCATCTGCTTTAGCTCCTCCGGGGTGCCGTAGCGACTACAGATACACACATACACAGATTTGTATTAGTCCTTAAACCCTCTCCATTTCTTGGCCTTAACCTCAAACATACCTCTAATCCTTATCTTGACCCTATATCAGAATCTTCATGTCAGAGTTACCCTTAGAGGACGAATAACTTCCTGACAACACTTAACCACTCAATCTATTTATAAAGCCTAACCAAAATACTAGACCAAAATACCTCACCTGTCTCCTAAAATAAACCTGGTTTGTCACTTGTGCAAGGTGATGACCTACACATATGTCCTTGGCTTTGAGTTTATTTGTCATTACATTTGCATCACAGTGACAACAGGCCAACACTATTGGATAAAATGCACCCACTTGATTTACATTTCGTCATTAATATGCATATTTTCCCTGAATGTGGATTCAAATGTCCAGATGTCTATCTATATTCAAACAGAATATTATTCTGCAAATATGATCTTCCTTTTAAATCATTTTTTCATTATCATTATCCATTCTTTCATCATCATTTTCAAAATGTGTAGATCTTATGTTGTAATAATCATCAATTCAACTTTTTGATTCAGTTTACATAGTGCTTTTATAATGTGTACAGATTATATATGTTCTTATATGGCATTGCACGGCTCTACGTGCATCTGCTAATTGCCTAACTGGGAATACGATTAAATTAAATTATAACAACAGTAAGCATTTTATGGATTTTGAATAATTGGATATCACTTCTATAGCATTTAAATACTATTTACAGTGTCATAAGAAACACACTATTGAATTCACAATACACTCCACAGAGTAACAGTATGTATGTATATTCACCTCCATATACTAACCTACATATCTTTGTGTACACTGCTCATATTGTCCAAAAAAAGTAGGTCTGTCATTCCGACAATCATTATATCAGCCTTCTTGCAAAACAGGACACAGCGACAGTATTACCCCGCTTCCCGGTATTTGGCTGCTCGGGTTTTAAATGACACTGAGAGATCGATCATGGGTGAAATTACACTATATACATTACACTCTGGGTTTAGGCTCGACTCTAAGCAAGGGAGGAGCAATCTCTGAGAGAAGATAAATACTCAGACTAGTCCACCTTTATCTACTCCTTCCACTCTCTGGATTAACAGCAAATGTATTTACAGAGAGATTATTGCTGGTGTCAGACTTCCTAACCTTGATTTGAGGTGACTATTTTCTATAAAGTTGGAAGTTGCTCGCTCAGTTTTTAAACCTCACAATAACACACCCATTTCTCTGTAACCATTTCTATTAAAGGGCATTTACTGCAGGTAACAGATGTTCTGCATAATTATAGTCCTGGTTAAGATGAACGGAATCATCTCGTTACGTTGTTTCAATAAAGAAGACCAGAAACGATGTCTCCCGGCACGGTAGCACTGAACTCCTGATGGAATGTTGCCTTTCGTATAATTTAAAATGCACAATGGCTAAAATGTACATGCATTGTTTCTTCTGAATCTCTCGATTGTGGTGAAGGAATGGCGGACTTCACCACAAGTGTTGAAAACTATAACTTAGACTTGAATGGCTCACGCTGAAAGAAAGCTTTACACATTTTATTTGTACATAACAACTTTGCAATCAAGAGTGAACAAAATATATTAATCATACAGAATTGTACACACAGTTACCTGGAAGCAGCAAAGAAACTTGTGATCTGATAGCCAAAGCTTGCATAGTAGGCGTGCTCCATGATAGCCATCATCTGAATACAGTTGTAACCTGCAAACAGAGTGAGGAGGGACATTACAAAAATATTCTTATTCGTCTAAGACTTCCCTACTAGAATATTGTGACCTGACTTTGTCTAACTTATTGAAACATTCAGATATTACCCATGGCTAACCAACTAAATGATCATAAAAGATGTGTTCACAACGTGTGGCAGCATGATACAATGTAGACATCTTGGTGTTTTTTGTTTGTTATTTAAAGCATTGTATCCTTTCTATTTGGATAACCTTATTTCCTTTATTAACTGGAGGGAGTGTTATTCTCATCATCTTCTCTTTACTTAAGATTTTTCTTAGAAGTAGATGGGGCCCACCCCCACAAAGGCAGTACTCACAACAGGAAAATATTGCATGTTTCCGCCCCTTTGATTCAGATTCCCTGCAAACGTTTGTCTCTTCCCACAAGTTTGATCAAAATCAGGTCATTAGTACATCAAGTACGCTGTTGGTTAGACACAAAAGCTAAACAAATAAGAGCAATCTGTTTATGAAAGAAATCGGTTCTGATGTGATTTGTCTCATTAATATGATACAACCAGCATGTGGTAACCGTAGGACTCAATACTATTTGACCAGTGTCAGTCATACTGTATAAGTGAGCTCCAGGTGTCCTTTTTTGACACAAGCTCTAGTATCCTAAATACAAGCAGCAGCTACAGGGAAACACCAGCTATCAGAGTCAGGAGGTCATGTACAACATTTCAAACAACCCACCAAAACTGCTTCTATGAATAAGAGAACAACAGGCTTTTAAACTCTCACTGAGCACTCCATAGGGAGGCCCTGCGGTTCTTCCCTGTTGTGTGGAGCACATTTATTTATTTATATCGCATCTTCTTTTCAGGCTGGAGAGACAGAGAGAAAGAAACGCTGGCTTCTGAAATGGTGTGACAAAGCACTGGGGTGAGCTGAAGTTTTTTATATTTATATATACGCTCTCTCCACAGTGGAGAAAATGAAAAGGCAGGCAGAGGCAGCCGTCACGAGAGACAGTTGAGTTTAGCCTCCTGGAGAATCCTATTGTGCAGATTCGCTCAGCTGCTGCAGGTGGATGTTTCGACAGAATTTACTCTGGCAGTTCTCTTTCCCACAAAACAGGATGACACTGCCAAGGAAACAGCGTTTATCAGATTGCTCCTGGTTTGCTATCTTTACCTTTTAATAATGTGTGTACAGCAGGCTGCTTTAAACGCTAAATAATGCCACATCTCATAAGAGCAGGATTGCAAAGCAAAACAGGGATATTTTCCTTAAGGCTGAATTCACATTTAAATCTTGAGCTTTAAGGAAGTTGAGTAGGTATTAAGAAAATTGATCACACATCAATTGTTTTACTCCAAGTCAAGTTTAAGTACATTTATTGATTTAGAGTTAACTATTTTAATCTGCAGGATGCAATATGGAGCCTATCATTGAAAATGTAGTAAAGTATTTTTGTTCAGTCAAATCTTAAACATTCTGTCTTCAAAACAGTTTAAAAAAATGAATAGCAAGACAAGCTCACAATTATGTTAACATTTTAAGTATAATTATAGCAGCAGCACGTTTCCAATTCAAGCATAATTTCAATCCGTTTATTAATGCATGTTCTCCATATATTATAATTTAACAAAGATGAGATAAATATTATCTTGAAGAAATATGAAGGAAAATGTTTATTTAGTTGAGTTTATGTTCACAATCACCTCATAATAGTTGTTTTTCATCAGATAAAATTCAACTGAGTCAAATGGCAACATTCGATAAACGGAATTTGACATTAAACTGAGAACAGCTGTAACTGTCAGTCATTGACATATTTAACAGATGTTACACCAAACAATAGGCTCAAAGTTAAGTCCAGACAGCCAACATCTCTGAAGGCTACACTGAACTAAAGCAGATAAAGAAAATATATATATATATATATATATATATATATATATATTAACATGCAAATTGATTACAAAAGGATTATGATTTTTTTTTTTCAGTCACATTTTCCAGCCCTAAGTACAAGTCTAAATGATGCGCTCTTCTCTTGGAAGATGGAAAGTAGACAGATTATAAATAATAACTTTGGTTTGGTTCTTTAAAAAAACATTGTCCAATCATCAGTGAGCCCTTCAGGTCATGCGAGTAAAAAGGATGTTGACTTGCTGTTGTGGCATTGTGGGAATGTGACAGCTCTACCACAGAAAATACAACTACAGGATAAACAGCTAAGGACCAGTGTTGACAAAGATGGCACAGGACACTGGTAGTTATACAAAAAATGGCTCTCAAACTACATTGCTGGCTCTGATTTAATATGTACGGAGGAATACACAAACACCTTTATGGTTCACTTACTCTTCGCACTTGACTTGAGAAAGTATAAAATGTTCTCAAGTTGAGTAAAAAGAAAAAGCTCTGGCTGACACTTACAGTATATGAAGGGGATCAGAGCAGGATGATATTCTTGCAGTTTTTAAGGACTTGAGTATCCAACTAAATAATAGGGAAGTCAAAGGGAAGAGAGTAATCTCAGGTGGTCTTATGTCTTACCGGCGTCTCTTATATGAGGCAGCACGTTGGTTGTGAAGTTGGTGTACGTGGCAACCTTTCCCTCGGGTGAAGCGATGCCCACGTGAGCCTCATAGATTCTCAGGCCCTTGGGCTTCTTTGGCCGAGGGTGGATTTGCTGGAGAGGGAATCAAAATCATGACAGCCATTTTCCTAAAAGTACCTTGAAATACAGTCCATTTTATGAGTAATTATGAGCAAAAAGGTCAAAGACACAGTGTGGGTTTTCTGGGTCTCATCCCACCACAGGGGCTGGAAATGGTTGTGCCCATGTTCAAATGTCTATGATTCAGCCTGTCTCTGTTACACAATAGGAAAAGGATTTGTTTTATACATAGACCAAATGTCCTGATGGCTACCCACCAGACCTTGTGAACAGGCTATTTGAAGTACATGATTGAGCCACTTGTAAATAAAAGGGAATAAACACCCAGTAAGAGGGCTTCTCTAATTAAAATGGTGCCAAATAACAAGCGATAAAGAAAGTAAATAGCCTCTTATTATTTTGCTTGTCGACACTTGTGATGAGGGCATCTAGTAGCATTGAGTCACATTCAGACCCTCTCAGCATCAAGCAGCCCCATTAAAGTAATACTTTAACCACAAATAACCTTTTGTCTATCAATTACTCACCCTTTGTTACCTAGAAAACTGGAAGAAAGCGCTTTTCATGCACTTATCCGGAGAATGTTATGCACACTAAGCGGAGGAGTCTTGATGAATGGAAGTGAATAGGGTCCGCGTTTAACAGTAGCACATTTGTATCAAATCAACCCTTTTAGTATGATCCAATTGTGATTTATTCAGTATTATGGTCAATACTTTCAACACATGTTTGCTAAAATCTTTTGCATACAGTACACAGGCATTCGGATACACGTTTTCTTTAAGAATTCAGGGTATCAAAGGGTTAGTAAATAATAAACAAATGGTCATTTTAGGGATGAAGTATTCCTTTAAGAAAAGGCAACAACAGTATATGATATATAATGCTGATTTTAATGTTTAAAGTGTTTGTTCCACACTGTAAGAAATTAATTGATTTAACGTTTTTACCATCAAACCAAGAAAGTTTTGATGAGGTTTTTAAAATGAAGCCTCAATGTTTTCACCCCCCAAAAAATCTGCTCAAATTGTTTTCAATGCTGGCAGCTCAGAATGCTCCTACTAACAAAACATGAAAAATAAACCAATCGCTCTAAGATTGATTGCACAGCACTGGTGTTTTTCAAATTCAGAATTTCCCCCAGGGGTTTATATTTTTTAGTTTGTTCTTTTCAGAATAAAAAAAATTGAAATATGAATAGAAATTTTAAACGAAAAACATAAAAAACATTCAAATCAAAACTCACAGTGTAGGGATTAGGTGGATCCCAGTGAACCCAGTCGTAGATGACAGTTTTCTCATCTCTGGTCACATATTTAGCCCAGGGCGAGATGCGGTACAGACGTTCATCTTCCTCAGTGTGAACCACCACCTGGGAAAAGTAGACAAATTAGTTTTATGTTATGGCAAGGGCACTTAAACAATGACAGAGAGAGGGGACACTTTACATAAGAGGAAGGTCACACACACGTTGTCTAATAAGCAGAAAGGATAGGGTCCGCAATAACCATCATAAAGAATGGAGGACTAAATAAAAATAGCATTCAACTGAAAAAATATGATTGCAATAATGCTAAAAATGTATCATCATTGCAAACTGGGGGAGTTTGCAAAAAATACCATCTAGTTTAAGAGGCCTAGCCACAAATCAACAGACGCTGCAATGTCTTCTGGGTCTCCTGTGTGTTTCAGTCCCCGGACATTTGCGATTTTAAAGTCAGCATTTATTTACATCTTCCAGCCATGAAATGCTTACATCATAAAACTGTGCTGCTCCTCCCCATCCATTACACAGAAAATATGGTGCAGATCGCTCAACCAATAAACCAAACATCTTTCAAAAGTGCCAACATGAAAACCACCCGTCTTCCAGGAAGCTGCTCCCTGCTCTCCAATGCAAAGCTCAAACCTATTATGCTCCCATAGAGCACCGAAGACGTAATATGGTGTAGAGGACAAAAGGCTACAGTATTGACCAGAACAGTTGTTGTGGTGAATCTGGATTCAATTGTAATTATGGATTGTTTTCTTTTTTTCCCGTTGGTTTTAACACAGTCGGGGAGCCAGGAAGCAATTTGAAAATCTAAATCATTATCCTTTGCCTCTCATCTATTATGTCTGCAATTTAGGATTGGAAGGGGTTCAAATAAGAATAGTTTGTACATCTAACTAAAAAGTTACTTTCCCTCCATCAGTCAAATAAGAAAGGAGAAAGCCAGCATGAGAGTTGGAAATATCCGGCTAGAAATCGATCCTGCAGTGTTACCCACAGTATGTGTTCGCCCTGATTGGTCCCCTGCAGAAACAGGCATTAGAACACAACTAATTCTGGCCATACCATTGTAAAGTAATGACCGCTCCAATGCCAGACCCCCCTCTGGGGTTTTTTCATTATGGTCAGGCCACCTGGGGTTTAGCTGCCTGGCTCCCCTTATGACATGCTTCACAGTTTATAGGATTAAGAAAAGATAGTTGGATAAATGGACTGGCAAAAAGCCGGACAGAGTGGTGGTCCTTCAGGCAAATTGACCAGCATTAGGAATATTAAAAGACAAAAGAGACTGGTGGGCAGGCAAGGGGGGGGGTGCTTGAATAGGAAGAGCCAAGCAATATGCGAGAAGTAAGGTGTGAATTTAAAAAAATAACAAAAGGGAGCGAATTGTTTAGATAACACCTCGGATCTCTAAAATCTTGCACGCTCTCAACAAAAGTAGCTCATTGTTAATACTGTACCTAGACAAATGCTTGTGTATGGAGATAAATTGGACCCTGAACAAAGGGGGATAGAAGGGCAAGCTGCTCTACATGAGAGTGATTGGAGCTAGGCTTGTGCTTCCACGAGGGAGTGCTGTGGAACTAATTCTAAAGTGGAGCTCACAGCAAGACAGCCATTCACAGGCAGCGGGGGTGCACAAGGAAAGGCCAGGTGCCAGCTTTTCCATCTGCTTCTTATCGTCCTCAGACTGACCTCCGCTGACAATGGGAGCCGGGCAGCCTGTCCAGGGCGCAGAGGAGCGCCAACGATGACCCGGTCCCAAGGAGACTGGTGCCACGGTGCCACGGTGCCATCCATCCCACGCCTGGCAACGCATGTCAGGATTAATTCTCATGCACACCGTTTGCTTTGGAGACAATGCATAATGGGGAGGTGTATCTTTTGCATTTTACCCTGATGAATTATTTACAAGAGCTAAAAACCAATCATGTACCCCCACAGCGGGGGGAGTGTTCTGCTCAGACCAACGTGGCACGATGTCCTGAGGGATACCTGCCGCAGACAGGAGATGAAATAACTGCCATACGTCGGGCTCCTCAGGTGTATCTACCCTCCACTGTGCACATTGTGTACATACAGTCTTCTCCCCTGTGCGCGCTGTAAGTATGACATGCTGTTGACGGCGACCTGCCAGGTTTTCACTTGGTGCATAAGACACCGTACATAACAGGGAATCTCCCTCGCACATTGCGATGACAATCCCCGTCCCACCACGGCAAGATGACACCCTCTGAGTGTGTGAAACTAGGCACAAAGATGTTCACTTCTCTACCTTCAGTTTGGAGTTGTGATCCACAGCTGGAGAGTTGTCATGCTTCGGAGGTAGAATCAGTTCCCACTTGCCAAATTCTTGCTTGGTGTAGGGGTGGGTGAATTTCTCCCAGGCATCTGTAGGGGAACACAGCAAGGAATTAATCACAGTGAATGTATTGGTTTACAACTTTGCCTATCATCAATTAGCTCTAAACTGATCAAAGAAATCACTAGGATTATTGATGGCAGAGCAGACTAAGCCAGTGCATGGATACCTTGTGTCCCTTTGGTATCCTTATAGGAAATAATCACAGACATTTTTTGATAATTAGTTGTTTTTTTCTATCTTGTTTATTACCTTGCGAGTCATGAGGTCTTGACCCCAGGATGAAAACAACAATTTCTTGTCTCAGTTTTGTACTGCTAATTTGCTCATAAGCCTGGCATACTTTGTATATAAAAACAACAGCTGTGCTGTGGGCAAAATACAATATTTTGGCATCAAAAGCATTTTTATTTTTAAGTCTGTAGTCTGAATAGTGTTGACCAATAACAATTGAGCATATTTTGTTTGCATGTCATACGATTTAGCTTTTTTGGTCAACAGTTCTAGTCACCACAGTGGCTCTATTTCAATATTCTCCTGTGGGCCTCTTTATTTTTCTGACCTCTACACTCTGTCTTTACACAATGTCTCCCTCTCTCTCTCACATGTTGTTTTTGTAGTTTTGCAACAGCAAGTAAAGCACTAGGCTCACTCATCGAAAATTCAAACTTAGATGATCATTGAATTGTATCTCTGAGGGAATAAACGAATGGTTTGCATTCATAACCTGCTGATACTGCATTACCCATTTTGATTAACTGACAGGAATATATCAGACATTAAAGCAGACGGCTTGGCATGACAATTTAGGACGCCATTTTTTTCCGCCAGCCATATCTGTTTGCTATTCATGAGCAAAAACAACAGCAGGACAGAAAATGAATCACAGGAGATGCTCCAGGAGTGACCGGGCACAACACTTTTTACAGGCAGGCCAAGTCATATTTCTTCACAATTTATTTATCTCCCTTTGCTTAAACTCCTCTAAAAAAAACAGTGCATTATGCATCCAACTTGCACCATATTCATGAATAGGGCTGCTGGGCTGTTTCCACATTTACTATGAAATTGAAATCAAATAATATGACTGAGCCGTGTCAAAATGTAATCTCTCGCAGAATTGAATGTTGGAATTGAGCTGCTGCCCAAGGTCCTCGGAAGATAATTAAAAAGGGAAAAGGAACAGGAGAAATATGGAAAGAGGGAATGGCAGCAACAGAACTAACTAGCACAAAAATGTGTAGGGACAATAAACAAATTGACAAATCTCCGGTTTGCACACAGTATCAATCTGAAGGTATTACTATTAGCATTTGCTTTCCTTTATCATCACCTGCAGGGCGCCAGTTCAGAAGGGATGTGGCACAGAGGCAAGTGTTTGTGCGCTGCTGTGGCATGGCCAATGGAATCTGAGTTATGTGCACAGCTCTGAATTATTTCACCAGCCTCTTGTTATTCTTTTTTTTGCTATTATACATTTGTTTTGTTATTGTTGTTTCTCTGTTGAGGGTAAAATATTACTAGTGGCATGTGTAATAGATGCATTAATATATTTGATAAAGGAAATACATGACACCGAGGGCTTGTATTACCTGGTACAGTATATATATATTTGATATATGAGGGCAGGTCTCATTTAATCTTGGTAATGACGACAAAAATAAATGATCTTGCTGCATTTTCACCGCCGATATTAACTGGAAATAACACTCAAAAGACTATTAACCTGAAATTACTTTCAAAGTCGGGGCCGAAGGGAATAAAGATTTCAGTGCAAACTCAGAGGTTGCACTCTCTCAACAACTTTGCAGGCGATGATGAAATAACCAGCTACTAAAATATTAAAAAACACATTCAAAAAGAACCCCCTTCAGTATGCAAGTTTATCCTTAGTAATCAATATTTTCCACATTTTCTACTCCCAGGTTGGTTCATCAAAAGGGCTGATAGCCTTGCACCAGGGCCTTTTCTTAATTTTTTGCCCCTTTGTGTTCAAGAGTTTAGAAATTTCCCATTTCCTATTTAGTGCACTGTGAAGATATGCAACTTTCCTGTTCGCACTGAAATGTCTTTGTCCATTTTGGTCCCAACAGCGTATGTAGCTCTATATTAAAGTGTCATTTCCTTTTTAGTTATCCGATTCAACTCTGCAATTTGATTGCTATTATGCAATAAGGCATATTTATGATCTATTAGCTTGCTGCATGCTTGTTTTAAAAACACTTGCTGTGCCAAAAACAAATTTCTTCAAGAAAAATAATCACTATTTTCTAAAAAATTAACTGAAGAAAATATCTGTGGGAGGTTTAAGCTTTAGTTTTAGGGTGTTATCAACAACACATTTTGAAGGAAGTTTAACTTCAACCAAAGAAAATGCAGCCAACAGCTGACATGTTGTTCAGGAGCCAACAGCTCTTCTCAGGATACTTACTGAAGTCCCCGGTTAGGAAAAGGGCCTCTGCAGCCGGAGCCCACTCCCTAAAATGCAGGCTGTTGTCCGGCTGCCGCTGCACACCGAAGGTCTTGTAGCTTTGTGTGAACTGGTCATAGCCTCCTTCTGTCTCCTCCAGCTTGGAAAGCTGCTTCTGAAGCTGCTCATACCTTCAAACCACAGGGAAAACACACACATTATGAGTTACATGGAAAAGCCACAGGTGAATACACAATCTGTACAATGAAGTCTAATTGATTTAAGGTGGGGTAGGTACGTTTGAGAAACCGGCTCGAGATACACTTTTTGTTATATTCCATGGAACGCTCTTAACATCCCGATAGCAATGAATATCTTAAGTGCTTTGACAAAAAATCCATAAAAAAAAATGTCATCTGTGGAAGCCGTAGTACTGTAAAAAGTACGACCAATCATTTTAGTCGGCCCGGCTAAAGTAACTGGATGGCCTACCTGCCTGTCAGCCTTCCATCTCGTGCACAAACTTATCTCGTGCCCTCATTGGTCATGTGTGCGTTCGTGTGTGTTGGAGGAGGGGCTCTATAAGGAAGTGGCAGATTTTTTCCGGTTGTGTATTTTCAAATTCTAGCGCACTCGAGCTGGTTTCTCCAAAATTACCTACCCCACCTTTAAGTAAATGGCTTTTTGATGACCCCTGAAGAACCTATATTGCATTTAGGTCTGTCTGTTACACATGGGGGGGGGGGGGGTTGAATTAATAAAAAATTTAGACAAGTAGTTTACACAGCTTTCTTTCCAAACTGACTGTTACAGTATATATCAGGGTAAGGACAGTGGGTTCAGGATTTGATTTATTTATTATCAAAAACCTTTATAACTTTAAATAAAGATGATATAATATTGTGAACTATTAATAAAGTGTAATAGCTCACATCTACACACATGGTACACCAATGGCGTTTGCCTCTTAATAATTGTTAATGTAAATTATAAGTATATTGTTGGACACACACACACACACACACACACACACACACACACACACACACACACACACACACACACACACACACACCACACACACACACACACACACACACACACACACACACACACACACACACACACACACACACACACACACACACACACACACACACACACACACACACACACACACACACACACACACACACACACACACACACACACACACACACACACACACACACACACACACACACACACACACACACACACACACACACACACACACACACACACACACACACACACACACACACACACACACACACACACACACACACACACACACACACACACACACACACACACACACACACACACACACACACACACACACACAGGGAAGAAGATGTTCATCAGTTATTACCAGTAATGCTACCAGAAGCCGCCCCTCTATTCTGCCCTGTCAGTGTTATCACTTATCACCCATTAACAGCTATTCATAACAATACAGTTAGTGGTGAAAGCAATTTTCAAGATCATTGGTCACACTACCATGTCATTCCAACACAATCAGAAATCTATTTCACCGAGTGATTCATTATTTACACTCATTTCTGTGTCATTAACTGTGTTAAATTGAAGGGCTTGCCCATTTTTTTTAAATAGTTATGACATTTTATAGTAGAGTTTTCTTTTAAGGCAATAACTAATAATCAATAAAAGTTATTTGTCTTCAATAATGATGATTGGAGCAGGCTTTCTAAACTGAATGGCTAAATATTATTATAAATAAGCAAGTTTCTGATAAATGTAGTATTTGTGTTTCATAATAAATAAGTCACAAAGATTTTGAAACAAATTCAACTGTATTTGTTTTCTTTTTGCCCGTGTTGGAAAATGGTTCTTAGTTTGCACACATTTAAAACGTTTCCAGAACTTTGATGCACATTCGGTGAAGCAGTGTTTGGTAATGTGTCCACACTAACGTTATCTCTAGGAGGTCCTTCCTCGGGATGCAAACCTGCCTCATTCCCTCAAGAACGTGTGGCTACAGGCCTATCCTGAGAGATAAACCTCTGTCTGTTACCTTCAACTGAGAAGGATAGACTAACTACTTTGCAATTTATCTCACTTAAGTTCCTGCAGCCAGCTGGTGTCCATATCAGATTCCCCCAGGCACAGAAAGCCTCTTTCTGCCAGCTGAGTTAAGTGCACTCTCTCCCCTATAGCCCTGAAGCCAAGCTCAGACTGGCCTGTGAATGCCCTGGGGCTGGTGATGATGGGCTGAAGTAACAGCGCCATTTCTCAGCAGCTGCTCCCTGTGTCGAGCATAGTGGATACAGACAGAACTTGCCAAATGTAAACCTTTAAAGTCCAACCAATGGTGCCACATGCTTCCTTTGCCACTCTGTCACCATTTCAAGAATATGCTGAAAGGAAGGACAGTGGGAGGATGCGCATAAGGGCAAAACACCGCTGCCACAATATTAATAGGCATGAAAGTCATGCCTATGATTATAACAAGTGAGTTCCAGAAGGTTGGACCACTGGGAATAGTGAGACAATTCCTGTAAAGCTGCAGCAAGCAGGCAGGATGAGACCACACATCAATTGTGCCAACAAGAAATATCATCATTATGATAACAATGTTAGTTGAAAAGGAAGTATCAGTAGGAAACTGCACTTTAAACAGCAACTAGTATTGCCTTTTGTGTTCAGTTAAATTTTGAATTTGTTCAATGAAAGAATATGTTAACAACATCAATTTGATGTATTTAAGAGTGCAGCAGAAAGGTAGAACATAATATACTTAAATATCTGTTTCTTTATTTCAAAAATACCTGTTGCAATACCTTTTGCTTTTTTTCCTAATTTAGCGCAGCCCAGAAGCTATTCATTTCAGGGGGGGTGACTTGACCAGTTAAAGCACATCATAGTCTAAACTTTGATTTATTTTCTAATTATTGATGATCGGACAGAATCTGTCTTCAAGTACACTTTCCTGTGCCTATATTTTGATTTTTTTATTATGATGAAGTTGTCACTTATTTCTTTCCTCCATGCCTGCACTCTGAGTTTACGTTTTTCAACAATATCAAGCGTGGCACTGCACATGGTATCCATAGGCAACCTTTGGCTGTAAAACACTCTCCCATCAAGCTGCAGAGAGCAGAGTCTCAGAGTGTGACCATTTCATCACATATGGCAGGCCTTTTTTCTCAAGCGCTGGCCCTGAATACCTAATAGAAGCAGGACAATGTTAGAATAGAATAGCAGAACAGGAACTCAATACATACCTGTTCTCTTGAGTTAGAGAAGAATAGAAGGCAACATGCACACCACAACAACATTTTTCTCACTAAAAGTTGTGTTTTTGTCTGACTTCAACTCCTGAAGAAAAAATATTTGCACTTTAGCAAAATGAGTCACTCTGTTAACCGGCTTGTTGCTACCTGTGTCTGTCTGTCGTTTGGAGCTGGGTCAGAAGCCTAAAGTTGGTTCATCAGAGTTTTTGTTGAAAATAGCTGCCTGCTGTGGCTATAAACAACACTGCAGAAAAACTTTACCAGAAGAATACAGTTGCGGGCTGTAAAACCAAACAATCTATAACATTCCTTAGATCTGAAAGGAACATCACTACAAGCTACTCCAAATGTTCTTAATGGCAGATTTATGAAATACACAAACGTATAAGATCATGACCCAATGTTTGAAAATAATGTTCTTATCCCCACTTCTTTATGGAACAAAGCAATTATTTCAGTTTCACTAAAAACACTGCTGCTCATCGTCAGGGAATTCACGACAAGAGACCCAAACAATCCATGTAGCCAAAAATTACAATATAGTCTCGTCCTGTTCCCTTTTCAGTGGTAATAGAGCGGCAGGAGATTATAGATGTGACTCACAGATAACAGTCCTGGCTCTCTTATCTCCAGGTTTGGAAAACTGTTCATTATCAATGAAGATAGAACAAATATCATATGGCAGAAATAAGATATTACCCTTACAGATATTATTAGAAACAGATCAATTGTAAGTGACATAACATCTAGAAACATTTCTGCTTCTTCTCAAACTATCAAGGTAGCCCAATATTCCTTGTAAATTGAAGACAGTTCATGTTTATAATACACCATTTTTTTTACTTCTGTTTGTTCCAGACATATAAGATAAGGAGAAGTGACTAAAAGTGGGACTTGTGGAGAAAGCTCAGGTGACACTATTGAGAAAGCTATTTAGTTAGCAAAAGCTCTCCTGAAAAATCAAAGCTTGGGATGGGGAGGTGCTTGGGAGGGATGGTTAGTAAAGATCTCATTGATGATGAGAAAGCTGAGGCTCAGGAGGGGGCTCAAGATAGCAACTCAGCTGGGGGACACCCTTTGGAATAAGAGAAATAAGGCTCAGTAACAGCTGGAGTTCTAACTTCAGTTCTGAAGCACGGTGAAGAGCAGAAGAAGATCCGACAAACAAACTCTGCAGGAGACAGAGCTGGAGAGAGAAAAGAGGATCAACATGACGTCCAAGCTCTTTCCATGCCTGGACCTGGCAGTAGAAAACCAGAAGTACTTTCCATCCCTAACCTTCAGTGGCAGTAGGATCTGTGTTTTCATCCAAGATCTTTTGTAGATTACAAGTAGTGTTCGTTGGGGAGTTTTTCTTTCCCATGATTCTTACAAAACATGGGCTGGGTTGAGCATCTTCATTCAATGGATGTCTTTAAAATTGGATAAAAAACATTCTTGACTTAGCCTACAGTCATTTGTCTTAAAGTGCATCTATCGTGCTATTTTAAGGGATATATTATGGGTCTCAGATATATATATAAATATATATAAAAACATGTCTATGATGTGTTTTGGTCAAAGTACAAACAGATCATGCATTTTAGACATCCCTCATATCCCTCTATTCCAGCAATGTTAGAGAAACGCAGACTTTGGGTCCTTAGCTTGAAAAAAATAAAGAAAAGGAGGCGGAGCTAATGCCTGATCAGAATTCTAGAGATAAAGTTAAATTCTGCTGTGATAAAATTCCATCCTGTTCTAAACCACATCAAGGATTATTTCTGAAACAGTATGGAGCTCAAATGCTTTTTCTCTTGCGGGTTTATCACAAGGTGAGTTCCTTTTTTTAATTTCCTGCTTTTTAAACACATGTGCTCTCCAGTACAGGTTAGCTTTGAGTGTTAGCGAGGCTTGCTAATGTAAACAAAGACGAGATTACGTCCAAAACACGTCAGGCATTGTTTCTGATAGCAACTTTCTGTGAGTCCACCATCTGAAATTACGTCATATCGGCAGCAAATTTGTATCCGCTCGTTGTACCCCCGTTTTTTAAAGATTTGGGTACGGAGGAAAAGAGAAAGGGTTTTATCTTCTGACGCTGCGTGAGTTCCCCGACACACCGGGGACACATATTTATGTATACTATAAAGACATCAAAAAGTGCATTTTGCATGATAGTTCCCCTTTAAATCAAATAATGCCTGCATATCATTTCCTACATTGTTACTGAAAAGTGCAAAGGCTGATGTATGGAGGGAAACTATGAAACTGTGGTGATTAGGAGCAAATAAATATAAGGTGTTGCTGCACTACAGAATATAAGCATGTTATATTTCTAAGCTAATACAATACATAATCGAACACAATGAGGCAAAACACCAACTCAGATTTTTCATCCACTGTAAAACTATGTCCGAAGAAACTTTTGATTTGCATGGAATTCCTCAGGTCAACACAAGTTCACGGAATACAGACTGGTCAGTTTCAGCCAATTCATTGGGATGCCACTCAAACTTCAGCCAAAAGGGATGTTTTTCTTCCTTTTTCACAAAGTTCATCTTATCTTCAACAGATGTGAAAGGAAACATTTTTGTTTTCTTTTACATAGCTTAGTTATATAACATTTGGTTATGGTTTACAACTGGTAATGAGAGGAGATAGACATCAAAAGTGAGTCCAATAGAACTTTCAAGGTCACTGTACATTTTGCAAACTAGATGAGAAACACTTGTATGGAAATGTTTAAGCTTTTGAAATTCTTGTTGTGGTCTAAGAGGGACCGCATTAATCAAATAGATGGATTTGAATTAGAACAGGTGGACAAATCAGAGAATATTTGTGTCTGTCCATGTTTATATCTTTCAACTTTAACTCTTCAACAGCATGTTTTCAGTTCATGAAAGTTAATTGTAACTTTCAATTGGTTTCCATTAAATGTATTTTTCAGTGTTGGGTTGTAATTGGCTCCACCTTGTCCTGTCACCTCTAGTTCCAAAAAAACGAAATGTTGACAGCCAAAACGCCAAACCTGAGTCAAATAGATGACGTCAAGTTGACCAATATAATACAAAAGAAATATCAAATGTGTATGTGTATATGAAATGTGAATATTAAAAATAGTGCTGATATTTCTCTTTAATTTTGTTTTATATACCGACCTTATCCACTATTTAAAATTCCTCCCACATAGCATTTGAACTTTGTAAGCTGTTTCTACACTAAGTGTTAGACAATCGGGCATCTATATTTAGAGTAGGGTTCAGGTCTGTTGCTTTGTGTGTGACTGAGGGTGACAGCTGAAGCACAGCTGTACGACAAAGTTTCTCTCTCTCAGTTCTCAGCTTGCCAAAAGGGTTTCTGCATGACCTAACAACAAGGTGACTTTCAATTAATGCCATTAATGTCCTTCATTAATGATGCTAACGAGGGTACTAAACATTGAGGTTAAAAGATGAAAAGCTAAAATTCCCTGCTAACCTTCAATATTTGTTGACCCTCAAGCAAGGCGACAGGAAGATTCATACGGCCAAGGCTACCATAAAAGCAGGTTCCTCCTATGAAGGAAATGTAAAATACTTTTTCTACTTATCTTGAATTCCTGTATTTTAGCTTGTTACTTGTCAGAGCATGTATGGGCAGTCATCATTTCCAAGTCAGTAATCAGTTTTGCTTAAAATATATTGCATCACCTTCATGACTCAGACCTATTGCTGTAAGTTTACTTTGAAATGAGTTGTGATGACATACTCAAATCTTTGCTAAGAAAACTCTATTTGCAGTAATAAGGGGCAGTCTCAACTCTCACTTTTTTCATTTGGTCCAATTTAGGAGATACACGGTGCCATAAACTGCAAAATCCTAGCAGCACTTCCTGCAGTTTGCGCAACAGGAAGGGTAAATAATGAAGCATGTCAACAGAGCACTGCTCTATGGGGCTGTAACCTGCGTTCAGCGAAAAAGGGTTGTTTTCCATTTCAATCTGAAACTACCATCCTGATGAAATAAAATAAGGGATGTCTACAATCATGCAATAATTTATTAGAATGGGAGGCTTTCAACATATGCTGGAATCATTTCAACAGTCCGTCCATACCGGCTATATATGGTCCGAACCAAAGTTCAACAAACCTGAGATGCGGGCAGCCTTGAGCAATGACATGGCGGTTAAACCTAAATAATCTTTCTTTTTGGTCAGAGGTCTCTTTCTGATAGGCCAGCTGAATTCTTAACACTGTGCAGCTCGGCGAGGGGACTCAGTGTGGCACCTTAGCCTGAGAAAGCTCACGATTACCATGCCTGTGTTGGTGGTGTGGTGTTGTGGTTGGGCCTGAGGACACTGGGGGCTTATCAAGAATTAACCTTCACACAGCAGTGCTCCTATATGTAAAATAATTGATGTGCAACTTTCATCAGCGTGACAGGTGTTTGAGACACGTCTGAGGCTCTGTGAAGCCCAGCGATCCCAAGCTGTGTCTGAGTTGGAACTGACACGCTAATCTCTCTGGAAGACTAGAGCCCTGCTCACATGCTTCAAATACAAAGCAGGTGGTCCCTTACCTGCAACATTAGAGATAAGATCTGACATGGTAATGCAAGTCAATGGAACGATATGGCCCCTGGGCAGAGCTTTTTTAGGCCTTGATTTGGGGGCTGCCCAACAGTGACCAGATACTGTAAAAACTCTAGCAATGTGGGCTGTAGATCATTATAACTACCTTTTTTTTTTTAATGTTTAATGTGATATAAAACTGAAAAAAACTGATAATCGAATAATCATTGGAGCTTTTTTTTAAGGGCACTCCTTGACTTTGTATCAGGTTAAAACAACAATTTACAAAAATGAAAAAGACCAAAGAACCAAAGAGATAGTATGAATAAAAAAAACTGCACAATCTATTGACTTAGAGTGTTTATTTACTTTAGGTGATTAGACAATAGAGGTCAATACAGTTAAGGACATGCGTCAGGTCTTTTTAGGTCTCTGTAAGGTGCTGCACTGATTTAAGCATATTTGCATTTCAAATGTGTTTCAATGTTCATAATAAGTAGGCAAACTTTCCATACCTAGTTTCTTGTTAATATTCCCTGTATTCATTTGAATACCTTTGTTCTACAGAAAATTAAAGGACTTGAGAAAATCATGTTCACATGTTTAGTTTCTATTAAAAATATTTGAGTAATGGTGGTGAGCCACAATCTCTCTCTACTGTTTTAATATTTAAAAAATCATGTTACTGCACAAACAGGGTTACAAAGAAAACGCTTAAACATGTATAGGACAACTTAATATAAAGGGAATACAATTATATAGGCTCTAACATAAGTCACTTTAAGATACAAGAAGTGTTTTGATCACAATGGTTATCCTCTCAAGTAGGATTTTTGTTCATTCAGGCACTGTGCGGCTCCCACTGACAATAATAAGAGGGCTGTTATATTATTTATCAGAACTTCCCGCTTTGGTTTGTGCATTACTGGCATAAACACTTCACTCAATTAGGAAGATGCATCACGGAAACTTCTGGTCTGGTCATAAAATCTTGGAGCCTACTTCTGCATGTAGTTTGATACCATCAACCATCATTCTTTGGCAACTGCAGAGAAAGTGATTGCAATTTGTGCTGGACATAATCCCAGATTAATAATACCCTAGCCCCATACAAACAGATAAAGTCAGCTACTTAAGACTTCCACCCTAAGAATGAATTTGTATGGAGGCCAAATAAAGGCTGAAAACATATTTTAGTATAACTGATGCCACGATAACAACCACGCACAACGGAAAACTCATTATAATGAAGACCAGAAGGCAAAAGGCTGTTGTGATGCTGGACCACCGCAGTGCACAGGCTCCAGCATCCCAAAATACAACAGGCGTGGATCAGACTGCGTTTCAGCACAAAGCAGCATCTCGCGACGCACCGTACACGTCATCTGACTGCGAAACACATGGCCTACTCCTGAACTGTCAAACGCAGGAAGTTGAGACCACACGATTTGACTCTTCAGCAACTTGTAACATAAAATGGTAGCGGTTCATTAATGTTGCATAAACTGAACGTCCGCCCAACACTTGTTATGCAGAAGGCAGGAAACAGGGAGGCAGTGCATGAGAGGGGAAACGCAGCTTCAAATGCGACCTGTCCTCATACAATGTCAAACCTGAATCCAGAGGGCGGCTGTCTGTTGTGTTGCAAAAAACATCGCTTTGTATCTGTTAGTTGTGTGTTTTTAGTTAAAGACACGAGTGCTAGCGTAAACATTGCTTCTGCTAGCTTTAGCAGGGACTGATTTGGGGACAAGCCGTGCAGAAAAGCGCCGTTTAAGCCGTGTTTTACCTCCTCTTGAAGTCCTTCTCGAACGGTTTTAGATAGGGATCCATTTGGACTAGGTTGCTGAACTCAGGAATTGCAACATTATCCTCTAGTTCTGCCATCGTTCCTCCAGACCAAACCAATCGAGCACCGACTGCTGCTGGCTCTGGCGCTCTGTGTCATGAACAGAGGACACTGGAGCTCGGTGCGACCTTTTATTGTCGGGAGACAACAAGGACTCAGGCTGCTCTGTGTCAAGCCCGTCCCATCATAAAATGCTTTGTTTCCAGTGGGTTAGGGATAATAAAAAGAGTCGGGCATTGCTGTGATACAGTGTAACTTTAAGATGACAGCAGAGAAGCATCTGGCGCGTCAGAGGAAGATGACTTGGATTTGAAGATGTGCCGATTTCCAAAACTCTGCTGCCAGGATTTAAATTTGGGCTAGGAAACATGATCACATTACACCGATTACTTACGATGGCATCCTGTTGCCTTTGAATTGATTTCAAGATATTATTGATTTCTCAAGTCAAGTTATTTTTCAGATCTTCGTTCCTGCACCGTGAGATCCTCGAATAGTGTTCATTATTATTAATATATTAATGGATTTTCAATAATAGGTGAATTATTAGATACCTTACACTCATATTGCATCTTGTATAGGGCTAATTTCATTACATTTAGAACACCGTTAGGTAGTTTTATACTTGCCAGAAGGGTTACTATAGTGTCATTTTATCTTAAACTGGACATAAAATATAATAATAATAATGTAATTGTTTATCATAATATGAAGTATTTACCTGAATCAATAAAGTAATTAAGAACTAAATAAATAAATGTAAGATCAAAACTGTCTTTGATCGACAGCCTGGTCCATGACCTACAGTAACCTGAGACTCACTGGCTAAAATGTTGTGAACTATAAATACTCACAGTCCCATGATGATAAATTATGATGATGTTAAATTGACTGCAACTTCACTCTCCTAAGGGGATAACCCTTTTTGATTAGAATGACCACTTAGCTGTTCATCTTGTGCTTCCCACAGGACCTTTTCAGCCCATCTGTTAAGTCTCTAAAAAATTAATTTAAATTAATTATTCATTCAGTGTCAGTTTAAAATTAAACACATGGCTTACTACAAAACTAGTCTCATAGTTATATTTAAAAACCTTTTATAGGATAGACGAATGTAAATCAATGATTGAAAACATGACTTGAATGTGCAATAGAGAATTGTTATCAGAAAAAACTGCATTGATTTATGTATCTTGTTATTCAGTAAAAAAAGAACTTTGGTAATACACGAGGGGAAACAGACGTCATGAAGCAAGACCCCATTGATTCGAGCAAAGTTTAATTCAGACAAAGTTTGTTTAATGTCAAGGCCTGCTGTCTGTTACTCAACTGGATGAAGCTGCCTTTATCACTGAAGCAGACTGTGTGTGTGTGTGTGTGTGTGTGTGTGTGTGTGTGTGTGTGTGTGTGTGTGTGTGTGTGTGTGTGTGTGTGTGTGTGTGTGTGTGTGTGTGTGTGTGTGTGTGTGTGTGTGTGTGTGTGTGTGTGTGTGTGTGTGTGTGTGTGTTTGCGTGCGACAGGCTTCATTCCTTTCAATATACACGTCTGTCTAAAATTCAATGCTTTGATCTTATTATCTTCTTCACCGCAGTGGCAGAAAGAAACTAACTTTCCTTCTTCTTTTTTAAAGTTTTTATTGGTGACAAATGAAAACCCTCAATAAACAAAGAGCCCTGTTTACAAGTATGTTTTTTTTTTACATTTTCTTTTTCCCACCCACCCTTCTGGCAGAACTAACTAAATGGCTTGGAGAAGGATAACCTTGCTTACATTTAGATTGAATCCCTCCTGGTAAAGGCTGATAAATATTCATGCTGACTGAAGGAAGTGTGGGGCTCTTGAAAGGGTTGTCCTTGTCAAAAAATAAAACTGTCCCAGACAAAGGTCACAAAGAGATTGTCATTCTAAAGAGCCATCTGTTGGTAATAGATGAAACAAGTGTGTTACCAGAAGGTTATGTCAATAAATGCTGTCTCTGTGATTCACAGCTAAATAACAAAAGGGGTGTGTGGAAAGACAATGCCCAATGACAAATGCTGACAAAATACATTTCATTTAATCTAAAGACTGTTATTCATCTAATGAGCTGAAGGAAGTAGTTTGTTGTGTTTATCTCTTAGCAATAAGGAAAAATGAGCAGCAACTACAATTTATATTACCCAGTCAATCTGTTTTATTCAGTTAAACCATCTCCTCAGCTATAATGCATGACATTCAGCAGTATTATAGATATTTGTTTACATGCCAGAGGTCAAAGACAGACCATTAAATCACACCGCTTGTCAAGTTCATATAATATCCTCGCTTTACAGTTGTTGTAGATTATCAATCAGTCCCTAAAAGTTAAGATCCCTCTGAAATTACTCTGGCTAAAATATATTAGACTCAAAAATCTACACAAGGCAGTTTAGCTGTCAATTAGTCAATTAAGGGCTCATTCACACTTCCCTGATGGTACATATAAGTGACTGCATAGTTAACTCAACTATAGGCTAACAGTTTTAGTTAAGTTGCCTACACCATTCTCAATGTAATTTACAACAGGCAACGCTTCATGATATATCACAAAAACATACACAGATACAAAGATGGATAATATAATATTGAAGGCAACATATAGCTATAAAAGAGGTCAGGCAATATGATCTTCATGTTGTCAGAAAATAGATTTCAAAATGGAAAAAAAAATATTTACACTGTCAACTGGAACTGAGCAATAGAGGTGCTTGTTTTTCTTGATGTTATTTTGTCGACCACCTAAAATTGCTCGGTCAAAGATCGCTTGTAAGCTTAAAACTCTTTTGAAACAGCGACTGAATCAAACTGAGATTTGCAGCTATTAATAATACAACCTGTGAAATCATTACAGATTTATGTGCCAAGCCTCCATTCCTCCCACCCTATTCACCCAAATCTCACCCCTACAAATTCTGCCTTTTCTCTGTTTCCTTTTCCCAAGACACCATGGTTACAGCCAAGGCTGTAATTTATTCATTCAGAAGAGTTTTGGATGATGTTGATGATGATGAAGTTTTAAGCATCTCTCCCTGTGGTACTGAACCTTATGTTCCATCTGCAAAATCCTGTTATACTTACAAAGACTATGACAGATGCAAAACACAATTGAAATGCAAGTTTCAACTGCCAGTGTGACTTTAATTTAAGCCGACACAAACAAGCTTCTCTTAGAACTAAATTGATCCAAGGATACAGTCGTGCTACACTGATATTGTGTAATGAATAAATACAATTAGTATTTCAATACCTGTGATAATTATTCATCAAAGGATTATAATGCATCCAGGCTGAGAAAATAACTTCCCAGAATGTTCAATCACCTTGATACACCTCCAAGGCAAAGAAAAGGCAGGTGTAAGATAAAGGAAAGCATAAGTTGATGAATACTAAAACTGTGGTTCTAAAAATGTTTATGAGGAACATAGTGTCATATGAAAAGACAAAGAATGGTGAAAAGCAACGTACTGCATACATCTCAGCAGCACTTTATTCTAGATGCAGTGGCTCCAACATTGACTCCATGCAATCGTATACTGAAGCTGGGCAAATCCCAAAAAGAGCATATTCAATTAATGAATCAATCAAAGTTTATTTATATAGCCCAATATCACAAATGTTACATTTGTTTCAGTTGACTTTACAATTTGTACAGAATATGACTACGACCTGTCCTTGGACCCTCACATCGGAAAAGGCAAAGCTTCCAAAGAAACCCCACAGTTAATGAGGAAAATGGGAGAAACCTCAGGGAGAGCAACAGATCAGACGTGCAATAGATGTAGTGTATACATTTAAAAGATAATACATTTACAACATAGGTAGTCTAAATGCTTGAAGATGTATCAAGGTGGATTTCAACAATACTGTGGGAGCCATCACATTCCCTCTGCAGTAACTGGATAAATACAAAGGAAGATGGAAAATTACAAAACTAATATGTTTTAAGTACAAGAAAACAAATAATGATGTTGACGATGATGATCATGATGATGATGAAGCTTTGAACTTTTCACATATTTTTGTGGTGGAGAAATGATTAAATGTTGAACTTATTGTCTTGCTGCATGTGAAATGTGTTGCACACTTTTTTTCCATGTTGTTTTTTGAAAACTTAGCAAGACAAATATCTCATTAATTTTGAAAATATGCCTTTTATGTATTATTCACATGCTCTTAGATTTTTGCTTTTCAAAATATCTTTGCAACTGGGAAACTGACAGGTTGATGTTGAAGTGAAATGCTTAATCATGTGCAATATTATTTAGAGTAATTCGAAGAAAATGTAATAGGCAAGCAAATGAGAAAATAAAAATAAAACCTCAAAATAATTTAAAAATTAGACCAGCAGTTATACTGTAAGACCCTGATATGTGTTAATGTATTTATAAGATAAAATAAGTGAGAGCCATCAGTTGTTGTAACAACAACACAATCTATTTCCAAACATCATGGTCACATGTCAAAGCAAAGATGGTAGATCAATATGATGTCGATATCCATGAATAGTGGACACCTCAGTCTCTCATTTGAATTCATACCAATTTGATTCCCTGGTAGAACAACATGCTCTGAGGATTGCAACAGTGATTCTGTATGCATAGTACTTTGAGTTTAGGTTGATGTATTTTTGGTCAGGGAACAACCAGTTTTAATGCAACAGTGGACACTGCGTCACAGCAGTAAGTACTGAGGAAAGATAATTTCAGAGGCAGCTTTTTAAAACAACAGACATCTCCCAGTTGTCAGACAGGAGTAGACTCAGTTCTTCTCTTTGTGAATTGAAAAAGGAGGATTTATTTACATCAATGCAAAATAGATCAATCAAACCAAACAAAAGCATCAAGCAATAGTTCTAAAACTGCATCCATCCAACAGCATAATTAGTATACATTACCTGTGTCCCAAATTGCTCTCGATTTTCGAGTCTGTGAAAACGAATTTTACCTAATTCCTCATCAGACAATTAGGTTCAGAGAGTTGAGCGGTTTATAGTCCATTACACCTTAAAATATGCACTTCACGATGCGCTTTCTTTGGCACCAATTCCTCTAAAATTGAGCTATATAAATGAAACTGCAACTGTAACAGGTTTCAGTGACACAAATGGAAATGTATGATAATTGAAATATATTAAATTAGGTATAGCAACATGATCCAGGGACAACCTCTTTCTGTTGGAGTTCAAATTATATGTCAAGGAT